GTGCACGCTGTTGCTCATTTAAAAATTGCGAAATCCTCTCGTAAGTGGTGCCACTTTAACAAAGTGTTTGTTGTGCTAAGACCAGTTGGTCTGAAATGCTATGATTATACATTTATCCCGTTTGCAGGGGGCACATGGCCGAGAGAGGAGCTACACCAATGCTCATCACAGCTCTCATAGTAAGCAGATTTTTTTGTATTACATTAACCTTTCATACTAAGATAACATTATTGCACGAACACTGTCCTTTAGCTGCTACAGAGACAATATTTTGTTTCACAGTGGGCAGTACTTTATACATCTGCACCATGTGCTGGGACGAATGTTAAAATTGGTGTCCCTGAAAACTACGATGGTATTTTCCCATGGTATCTAACCAAGGTAAGGCACTTAAAACTTCTTGTACTTCTTGCGCTCATTTTTCAAGAAAGCAGATATGTGTTTCTCTAAACTTAACCTTTTTAATCATGGCGATTAGGTAATTATATATCTAAGCAGAAATACAAGCTGATTTGATTTCAAATGCACTTTGGTAAGAATTCTGTGTTGTAAGCGTGACCTTTCACTATTTAAAAGTCAGAAATGCAAAATTTAATCAAGATTTAACATTTAAAATCATCATTCGGTAATCAGTAACATGTTGGAAAAAAAAAACTGATAGAAAAGGAAATTATGCTGCAAACCAAAGCTGGATCTGTGTGTTTTCCTGCACTCATACCTGAAAGTGTATGAACCTGGTAATTGGCATGTTCACAATGCTTGTCAGGTGTCAGCCTCAGTCTCTGCATATAGTCCATCTGGGTGGCAGGCAGGATGTTTAATTCATACTTGTCAGTCAGACCTCCTCTGGGTTATGCAACAGCATAAATGTTGGCATTTTATTGGGCTGGACTGTGGTGTCGTCACGTCTTGTATGAAACATAGGAATATATTTAGGCTTTGATGTCAGTCTGGGTGTCATTTTGACTCACACACAAATAGTCTGTTAATGGCCACAATGGAGCATAATAACCCCACTTTGTGTTATAAATGGAATAGACATAATAATTGCTTCACATTCGTTTAAGGCAAAAACCTTTTCATGAAGTTGCGTTCGTCAGAGAGGGCTAAACTCGCAGATTACTGTAAATACGCAGTTTCAGCGTCTGCTCTAAAGTAGATTTTTCAGACGCTGCTATATTTTTTCTTCAAAGCATCCAGTCCTCGAGTCCTCTTATTAAGCACTGCAACATTGTATGGATTTTTTGTAATCAAGTAATTTCGTCTTTGGGGAAGTTGAATGGCAGGATGCTGGTAAATAGAAATTATAAACCATATTTTACTGTCAATAAAACACTTATAAAAGCTCAAACAAATCAGCCTGTTGGTCCATTCCTGCTTTGGTAATGCCCTTTCACCCACCCAGAAGACCTCAAAATAAATCCCAAATGCAGTGAAGGATGACGTGAGAGCTGGGACGGGGTGAGATGGAGGCAGATGATCTGTTGTGGTGGCCCCTGAAGGGAGGTGTCTAAAGAAGGCGAAGAAGAAGTAAAGATGTCCTACTCAGTCTAACTCAAACTCTATCTTATTCAAACATAAGTACACTGTGTGGCTCTCTTGGGGCTATTTTAAGCAGATTAGCATGCTTTTAACTAACAAAGCGAATAAAGAGAGACAAACCGGAGCCTCCAAATGAAGACATCGGATTTAGATTCAACTTTGAGAATTTCGTTTATCTTTTATTCTAGTATTTGAATGTTGTTTTTTTCACAAGAAGCCCAAAGGAATGTTGCTGCTTGTTGGCAAACCACAGCTCTGCTTTCTCATAAGGCATATGGAACAAATGGTGGTCAGCTATTGTGGGAGCTCAATTATTGTCTCTTAGTGAACACGGCAGAGAGTAAAAAAAGCTCAATTTTAACCAACTTGCCAGAAAAGGATAAAACGTGAAGAGCTGATTATCGCTTGCACTTTAATCATGCTGTATTTGTTGCAGTGTCATCTAGTTTAAATGCAGGTGCATCTGTGTAGTTGCTTGTAGTGCATGTTTTTTCATTAACCATTAACCAGGATGACAAACTGATTGTTTTCATGCATACTTTTTGTCTTCATCCCCACAGCTTCAAAGCCTGCCATCTAATTATAGTGACCTGGTGGTAACAGGAGATGATGAGGGCATATTTGGAGTCGATGCTCAGTTTCTGTACGCCCTAAAACCACTGGACAGGGAAAAGCAGCCATCTTACTCTCTGCAGGTATAAAAACATTTCTTTTCTGATCATTTCATTTCATTTCATTTATTTATTTATTTCACACTTGGTACAAAAAATCAAACAAACCAACCACACTTTCTATGAAAAAGCACTAAACCATGTGTGAAAAGGAGCAGGAAGAAGAAAATATTCTTTCATAGTATCATAGTGCACCGAAAGCAATTTTCAGTCATGTTTCGGCTAATGATTGACTTTCTCCAATGTGCCATACAGATAGTTCACATAGAAAATACTTTTTTATACTCTTGTTCATCATCTTGGTCATAATGATCACGCGCTGTTGTTCAAAGCAGTTTGGGGCTGCTAATCGATTTGCATGAAAAGGGTGGACGCGGGCTCCAGCATGTGTTACTTACAGAACATGTTTGTGTTCGCGTCACAGGTGTCCTTCAGAACGTCAGTGCATCGTCAGAGCTTCAATGTTGAAGTGTGTGTCATCGACAAGAATGACAACGTGCCTACGTTCATAGAGGAGAGCATGAGAGGCAGCGTGCAGCTCGGGCTTCTCAAGGGTACGAGAACTTTGCACTCAGATGTGAACGTATTACACAGCCAATTTAAGGCTGGGTCACATTCATCAGTCCTGAATTATGAAATATGCTGAATGTCGTCAACAGTGAAAAAAACATGCCTCATATCTCTGTGGAAACTGCAGTTTAACCTTAACATCAGTATAAATAGATTTAATAATGTTGCAAACAGCATCATTTCAATCACACACACACAAAAAGACTTGGGTTTGGTGATCACATTTATTTGATACAAAGGCCCCAGTGTACTCCATCTGAAGTCCTTTCGATATATACAGGGTCTAGCTCATAGTATTAACTCCATTATGTTTTTATGTATTTCTCATTTAAGAAAACCATGATGGTACATACACCTTTGTGTTGATCAGCTTTCTGTTTGAATTTCCCACAAAGGTCAACTCACTGAAGCTAATTCTGTTACTGTTTTACTTTGTCTGTGCAGACTAGGCATTTTGTAGAGTTTTCATCTTTTAACTTTTAAGATTTGCTGTTACACAACCCATGTTTTTGTTCTTTTGCCTTCACATCAGCATGTTTTCTTGGTATAGTTAGGATGGAAATTGAGACATTTTGTCCCACTCTTTAATTCCGTGTCACCCGTATCTCTCAGGAATACCATTCATGCAAGTGGAAGCGCTAGATCGTGACGACCGCAACAGTCCCCACGCTGATCTGCGATTCAGCCTGATGGAACAAACACCCAGGATTCCCTCCAGCCAAATGTTCTCCATCCATGCCATCTCTGGGGAGGTTTCACTCACTGAGGAAGGTCAGTCTCAACCGGCCGCTGAAAGGAAATAGTCAAGATAATTTTGTGGGGAGTTTTTTATCCATAAAGGGAATCTTCAACATATATTTTTCCAACAAATCAGCGTGGAGGGTCACCTAGAGTGCAGCGTTACAATTTAGGTTTGACTTTCTGCAATTTGAGAGGCCAACTCTTTACATTTAATAAAAAATTGCTTTCTTATTTCTTAGGAGCTTATCGTGTAGACAGTTTGTCCTCTTGAATGATGAAATGGCATGCAGTGAATTCTAATGGACTGGATGCTCCTCTACCTCATTCATTCATCCCGTTGCTCCATTCAGCAATGAAATCAGTTGCACTAGCAGTCACGCATGCCAAAGCAACAAAAGGAAGCAGCTCTGTGTTGGCATGCTTTGGGTCATGAGCAGCTCTTTTCTTTACTTTCAAAAAAAAAATCCAGATATTGACTATGGCAAACTATTTTTATATCTCTCTGACAGTGAGCCTCATTATTATCTTCTTCACTGTCACAATGGAATCTAAATTGTAGCCCATGTATGAGCTGCTGTGAGCTCTTTTCTGCAGATATCAACACTGAAACGATGCACTTCAGTCCACCAGTGATTTAGCATCCAAGTGTCCAATAACCTTTAAATATCTAGTGTGTGTAAACGTTTCTAAAACACAATTCTTTTATTTAAATAAGTGATTTAAAGAATCCCATATTAAAATAAAAAAGTAAATTCTCTGTAATATCTCATTTATTTCCACATGAATGTGCTTAAGTAAAGGAAATCTGTTATTGTCCAAATACGTTGTCTGCAAGAGCACAATACTCACACCTCAATACAAACCAAGTAATCCTTTTCCCCCATAAAACAAAACAAAGAATATCAGGAAATATTTTTATTATTGATATTTTCCTGAAAAAGCTGTTAATGGTCAGTTTCTAATCATAGAGGCAGACATATGTACAGAATCTCTAAAACACTTCTGAGAAACGCAAGCTGAAGTTGTTAAAACAGGATCAAAATGTGATCCAATGAAAAGTCTTGGAAAAGCCTGACATCACAAACAAGCCAGTAATGTATAAATATTTGATACAAAAGTATTGCAATAACATTATTCAGTGATATCGCTTCTAGTCCAGCGGACACACATGCGAGAGATTCTTGTGTGCCAGTGCTATTTCTGTAGCTTTGGAATTGCCCTTTGCTACGGTTTGGCAGGAGCTGGATGACTTTCACACTTGCCGGTCCTTTCTGGCCCACGCTGCTGATGATTTCCACAACACGAGCAGCAGTGAAAATTGCCTCCTTGATTTTTGCACCTTCTCTTTAGGCTACCTGGTCACAATTACACTTCAAGTAGGCTGTTTATGTTATTTTGCTTCCATTTAACCAAGAAATTGCAAAAGAAGGGATAGAAGGAGCACTCAGATATGTGAGGGCATGTTAATGCTTTGATTATTGCAGTGTCTTTCTGTTATTATGGTGTGTTTGCTTGTTTAGCTGTCAGGACTTTTGCCTTTTTGCACTCTGGAAAGTAACACATATGGTCCAATAAAGTGCTGTCTTGTAGAAAGTCTTGTAGGCTTTCTTGTATAATTTATGCCTCTGTCACCACCAGGAGCCTCTACTCTGGACCCAGAGATGTGTGGTCGTTACAAGCTCTCAGTGATGGTGAAGGATATGGCTGGGAGGGCGGATGCCTTCTTCTCCGCTGGCATTGTTACTGTTGAGGTGACAGGAAACACCTGGGCATCACCTGACCCTGTACGGCTTCAGGAAAATCTTCCGGGCCCTTACCCCATACCTATCTCACAGGTGAGACAGCAAAACACCAAAAAATTGTATTGACTCAGCAACAGTTCAACACAAATGCACCATGTTAGCACTGTATGCACCATCTAAAGTAAAGCCCCTTGTACATGATTAAAAAAAACCAATTAAATGGTGCGGCATTATTAATGCAGTAAAAAGATGTTATCATGTTGCAATCAAGCAAACGCTGTCAGTAGTGTGGTCTGAGTGAAGTGGCCTCACATTGCTTGTTGCTGTTTTTAGTGTTTCCTTCTAAGTGACCAAATACTAAATTATTGAGGCTGTTCAAATGCCATGGATCCTTTCAGGCCACCTCCTGACTGAGTCACTTTAACTCCCATATTTACTCACTCACTGCTGCCCGCCCACAAACCTACCATCACTCTGAGGGGTATTACACAAATCTTACAGCTTTAAGCCAAAATCTAAACTCAAATACACAGAACATATGGAGTGCAATTTTGATCGTATTGTACGGCTTACTACAAATATTTGAATATCTTGTATAATCTAAAGAAAGGTCCAGTTCAATAGAAGGGCATTCCTATTATTTTTTGGCACATTTCTCTTCTTCTTGCTGCTGTGATGTAACCTTAAAAACTACTGTGTAAGTATTTCTATCCAACTGAGACTTATTGTCAATTGAATATCTTTAAGTTTTAACACCTTTAGTTGTCCACAACAAAATATCCAAAGCCATCAGCTTGTAAAGAGACATTTGTGATTTCCTGACATTTCTGATTAAATTAAGTAAATAATAATTAAAAAGCAATGAAAGATGAATTGATAAAGAAATCTAAGTGCTGCAGCCTCACAAAGGAGTGTTGAAATCAAAAGTAAACTTTGATGATTGCATGAAGATATGAGTACGATTTCACATCTGAAACTTCAAATACTATGGAAAATGTTTGATTGCCATCTTTTCTTCAAAAAAAGCCAACAAGCCCACAGAGCCGGTCCCTTTCTCACACTGGATTAACTCCAAAAAGCATCTTGTGGTATCTATGTAATTTCTATTTATAGGTTGGTGTCTGAGCCTGGTCTTTTCTAACCCTTTGCTTTTTATAATGTTGCCATATCTACTACATGTCTATAAATAACTCAATAATGTAACACATGGAAAAAAAAATCTGCTAGCGGTGGTAGTTACCCTTTGTCAGGAAATCTTTTAAATCTACACCTGCATTTAAAAAAAAAAACAACTAATCTTAGTTATTCACTTCCGAGAACTGTGGAAACAATGGGGCCTGCAGAGCTGAATATAAGACTCAATCAAATTGTGAGAATCGCTTTGGCCAGCAGGTACACCGCAATACCTCCCCCTCCTCTGGTTTTCTCCCACCTCCCCCTCACACTCGCCCTCAGTCTCTCTTCTCTCCTGTTCCAACGTCCCCTGCCACCCACAGAAAACGTGTGGATTCACAAGCGTGGGCTGATTTGATTTCTTTTTTGTCATATTTTCAAAAGCCAGTTCAAATCAGCTGCAAAATCTACAGTTTTATCTTAAAGATTTAGTAGTTATTTAGAATGTAATACTCCGGCTCGGTGACCTTTTTATTATTTAATATCAACACATAGCATCTGTGTCTCTATATGTAAACAAGGCTGTCTGGAAATCTCTCAATGAGCAGATTTCCTGTGTGTTTCTCTTTTAATTTCTAATGAAAAATGTGATAGTAGAGTGTGAAATGAGACCTCTTGTTCCTTTACTGAATCATCTACGTGAACACTAACTAAAATCACACAAAACCGGATTAGGTTAACACGGTGTTTAGTTGGGGGAAGCCTTATTTCGCCCACGCGGTGTTCTAATACTGCTGTGCTCAGTAGGTGGTGGGACTAACTGCTGTTATGACACACACATAGAGAATCGTGTCCAAGAACCCACTCTATACATCCCACCTCCCCTACTGTCTCAGATAAATGAAGCAGTCATGTCGGCATCTACTCAAATGTGACAAATCATGTGTTTTACATGCTGACACCGTCCTTGGTGTGACAGATGCCGAAATCAACCTGCTGCTTAGCATGCGTTCTGCCATTGTCCTTCCCTGGGTAATAGTCAGTTATAAAAGTAAGTGTTGACTGGTGTTGTGATTAAATTTTCTGAGTCTGCAATCAGATCAAACCAAGCTTCGACTGGATATTAAAATATGCAATCCAGACATATATCAATTTGATTGCATCACCGGGGCTATGGGGATTCATTTTAATTTGTTATCTATTGCATGTTTTTCATTGCCTAAAAACTTAGATTGTGTAACGCAACCACTGAAACTACTTGAACTCAGGACTGCAATCTATTGAGACTCAAGTGGGAGTGAGGGCCCCAGTAGCTGCGAATGAATCAAAGCTCTTAAATACTTCGAACTGTTAGCGTTCACACTCGCATGAAATTTCAGTATTTATTGTGGAATTTGTTTGAGCCCCACTCGAACTCTGTCATGGCCTCATGATCAGTGAGTAATATTACAGATGATACTTGTACTTGTGGTGCCTCATCAAACATTAGTCATTAGAAACCTGATTGTGTTAAGAATAGCTCTGATTACAATACATTTAATGTATTGTAATCAGAGCTTTTTAAATAACTTTTCTCCAATTGACAATTGAATGAACTGCAGCACACCTTGTGCTACCACCTCAGTATCACATATCAGAGAAGGCTATCAGCAGGGTGGGGAGTGTCCATGCTCCCTCAAGTGTTCATGATAAAATTTAGCTCAAAGTAGGCAAAATGCAAGGTGGTTGGGTGCCCATGTCAGTATTGTAAAGTGATGGCTTTAGTGTTGTAAAAATAACAAAAATAAAACAGTGTTATGGGCATAGAATGGTGTAACTTTACATACCAACACAATCTTGTGTAATCTTGAAAAACTGTGAAGAAATTGAACAAATGAAGAACAAATGTCATGCAAGTGTCAGACCTGAAAAGACTATCTACAGTAGATGAACAGTATCTGGAAGTCATGTCCTTGAGAAATAGGGAAACAATCAGTAGAGATGTAACACAGGCCCTGAAAGAGGTATCTGGCTCTGCAGCTGCTCCAGCTATAGTTCACTGAAGCCTTACCAGAAATTGTCCACACATGGGCCAGCACAGGACCACCAGTGTCTGTGCAACTGGCCTTGTGCTGGCCCATGTGTGGGCCACCCCTGGCAAACCAGGTCTGGGCCACCAAAGGGCCGTCATTCTTTGCGGTATATGGGCCACGTGTAATTTGTGTGCAGCCACGGGCCAGTTGTAGACACACTGCTGTCCCTGTTCGGGCCCAGAACAGTTTCAGCTCTGGCCCAGGTGTCAGCCTAATGTGTACCTTAATCAAGCCATGTAATAACAACATGTGCCAGAACATGCAAAACAGTGCAAAAGTAACATAACTCTGTTCAGACAGTGAATGGACTGATTCTTATATAGCGTTTTTCTAGTCTCCCACGAAAAGTGCTCTATAAAACATGCCACAGTCACACACTTTCTCTTAACTGAGTGCTTCCTAACTACATTCATACTCTTGACATACAGACTGAAGGAGCCAGGGATCGATCCACTAACCTTCCAATCTGTAGGTGACCTGCTCTACCTCCTGAGCTACAGCCACCCAGTGGTAAACATAAGTGAACCGTCACTAGGTTTTGGATAAAGTGTACACTCACAAACCTGTCAAACCTGCATTTGAAACGTTAGCTACTATAGCAGTATAGTATTGCAACATGGCATTTGGGTCTTCTAACTAAAACAGGAACATAAATAGAGCCATCATTGCCAGACCTGGCGCACATCTGGTTGACATACACTCTGCCAGCTTGATGCCCAGATCCGGGCCAGACCTGTTTTCTATGGGCCTGGAGCACATAAACCAAACCACAATCGAGCCAGATATGGCATGCCATCACATAAACAGTGCCATCTATGCCAGGCCTGGTCCATATCTGGATGACATCCGTCTTATCGTACCAGAAGTCAGCCAGCAGTGCCGGCTTGATACCAGATCCGGGCCAGACCTGGTTGCTATGTGGGAAGGTGGCCGTACCAAATATTGATTCATAGCTTGGTTTTGCATTATTTACTGAATTTCAATGTTTGCACATTTCAAGAAATCACTGCAACTATTTTCCATTTTTGTATATAAAACATCAAGGAATGAGGGGTGTCTCAAGATTTTTGCACAACACTTATCTTCTGTCAGCTTATTAAATAATGAGAAACTAGCTTCAGCTTTATTATTATAACATTGCCTGATTTGGGAGGTTTACTTGACGTTATTCAAGTGATGATTAGCATCATGCCCCAAGTGCTGCCAAGAGGCGCACAGCCACTCTTGACCAAGCTCAAACACAAGCTATCACAGAGACAGCACGTGCTTGGAAAAATGAAACATGGATGGAGCGAAACAGATGATTTCATAGATGATTTGTATATAACTCTATACAAAAGAGTCAGTGCTCATCAATCACATGTCTTTAAAGTTGCAAGGTCTCAAAGCACACAATAACACTGAAAGGCGGCCAGCTGTGTGAAGTGGCTTTGTGTATACAGAAGCATTGCATATGGGCAGTTATATCCAAAACAAGGGACGAGTGTGTGACAGTGAGTTGAGGAGATGCACATGCCCTGGGTTTGCATCAGCTGTGATACAACTGTCCTTGTTGGGTGCTGTTTGATTGCTACTAGGGCCCTTTCAGCCCATCTGCACAGCCCTCTGTTAGGGGGTTGTAAAGCAGAGTGGAAAATCCCCTTCAGCCTTCATCGTTAGTTTTGGCTAGGCTCTCTGTTCCCCATCAGTGTCAGCGCATTTAACTGGCTCCTTATCATGTAAACAAATGGTAGCTTAACTTGGTATTTATACATCTTACACGCTCGGTCGCAAAGCTTTCTATGTTTACAGTTTTCCGCTCAATTTTCCTGCTGCGCCCAGATAAGAAACCATATTCACATTTAATTCACTTGCAGATATGTAAAACTGAATACTCATAAAATGTTTGTATACATTTGTCTGTGCTAATTTAGGTCAAATGGAGTGGCAGTCAGGCAGAGTATGGTCTGGAGGGGGAGTTTCCAGAGATGCTCTTCACCATCAGCAGAGAAGGAGTCATTTATCTCAATGCCCCGCTGGACAGAGAGACACAAGACCAGGTCTGTACTATGAGCCAAACATCTCCAGCACCTCATAATAAATGACATTTCACGATTAGAGTCAAAAATGTCTGAATTAATTCCTCTATTGAAGATTGAGCCCTTTATTTCAATTTCTGAACCCACAGTACATGAAAACTTTGATATCAAAGATGATGTGTGTTTGTCAGCTGATGTGTTTATAAAGATTGCCCTGATTTAAAAACTCTTCATACAGGTGCATGTGATTTATATTTAAACTAGCAGGATGATGTGATTCATTCACACGTATTTTCACCATCTGATGACAAAATTATTAATTCAAAAGCCGAACAATGAGAAGTGACAGGCTTATTGTCCCTAAAAGGGTTCTCGTGTTGTTCATTGGAAGAAAATCCCTGTTTTTAATTAACTCTCCTATTACTTACAACTTAATGGCTTTTTTATTGTAGGAACCCTGGTACACATTACTTCAGCAAAGCTGAGCACTGAGTCACAGCCTAATTACAAACCAAAACCTGAAAAGTGCTCTATTCATTAAACATATTCTGCCTGTGACAAGAAGATTGTTGTATAATGGCTTTAGAGATCGCGGATCTGAAAGTCTTCATTGCAAATCTGTCTCACTTTAGATCAAAGGAAAGATCATCCTTTGTATCAGGATTACAAATTAAAGTCCATGTGTTTGCATTTTGCTCTGAAGCTTTGCAGACAACCTAAACTCCTGTGAGCTTTGAATGATTCAGTGAGCAGAATATTCTGGCACAGATGCACCAAAGAAAAGCACAGAAAGACTGAGCTACAATTGGGTGATGTGATTATTGTTAAAACGCAGTGTTCTAGCACATTACCCTGTCTTTTTCTTCACTGTCCTTTCAGTGGAAGTTTGAAAACAATGGTGGAAGTTTAAACTGGTGTCTCATGGGTTTAATACGGTCTGTCATAAACAGGAAGCTCAAACCGATATGATGACTTCCCCTTATATTTATTCAAGACTTTTTTACTTGTTTTTTAAGGTTATATATATTAAAGTATTTACGGAAAACCAACAAGGCTTTGAAAAAACGTAAAATGTTGTTTGGTGTACTGCTACCACTGGTAAAATAAGTTAGAACAGATACATTTGTATATTTGATTTTAAGAGCTGTGAAAAGTGCTTAAGAACCACAAAATGCCAGAAGACTCTAAATCTGAATACAGCTTTGCGCTAGTATTAAATAGTAAATAGTATTTTCTTCATTTTTGTCACTAAGTTGTTGAAATCTATTCTACATACTTTTATACATACCAAATACCATTCAGGAATTGCAGTGTGCAGTTTTTTTTATCAGTGTGTGCAAAAATATGGGAATTTGCACAAATGCTGAACATCTAATATTTTATTTAGCCAACACTTAAGACATTTTTGAATGGATCTGTCCCAAATTCCATATTCTGGTTCATTTTGATGATAAGAAAGATCAGTGAAAATTTCAGGTTTTTGTCTTTAAAAGTTTTTGAGATATTCGTGTTCAAACATTGTTTCCAAAACGGTCTGAAAGTGAAAGAATTTTTCAAAAAAAACAAAAAGCTATTTGAATGAGAATCAGAATCATCTTTTATTTGTGAACACAGACATTGAATGTGTCTCCAGTTCCCTTTGCTTTCTTCAAGCAAAAAAAAAAAATTCATAGCACTCATTGTATATGTTCACTGGACCATAACATTTTTACACAAATCTGAAATGGTTGAGCAGGAAATGTGCAAAAATTGGGTGATATGAGATGAGACAGAAACTAGGAAACTAGAATCTCAACAAAATCCGTGAGTATAACCAGGATCAAAAAGTAAATGTTTACTCGCATTGCAGAAATGTATCCTATCATGCTCTGCACAGAGGAACACTTTACAGTCGTTAGTCTACTGGGCATGTAATCCCTTTTTTTGTCTGCTGCTAGAATGTTAATGGGAGCGTGGATTACGTGACTCTTAAGCCACAGTGTTAAGGGTACCACATGTGACCAGATATTTCCCTCTCTGCTTTTTCTTCTTTTTTCACCTTTGCTGCTTACTTAGTTTCATATCAGCATTGTGGTTGAGCGTCCCGACGGTAGGGAGATTGCCAAACCTGTGGAGCTGAGGGTGATGGTGGGTGACGCTAATGATAACAGGCCCACATTTCCACAGGCACAGTACCATACTGTGGTGAAAGAACTGGCTGCTCGAGGTAACATAGAGGTTTTGGGTGATTTTTTTGTTTGTTTGTTTTTTTTCACTCATGCAAGTCACACTGTTCCTATTTATACTAATCAGATTACAGTGGAATATTTAGATACTGCATCACACAGGCTGTGTGCTTTGAGACCACACACCAATATCCAAGGAAGAACAATACTATTTCTTTGGCCAAAATACAATCTTGCATGTAAAACATCTTTAAAAGAAACTCGTCTTACAAATTATGATGATAATAAAGCAACACAGTGAATTTGAATAGTAATTTTCTAGAATTATTTTATAATAAGAGTACTGTTTCACAGCTTAGTGCAAAAACACAGCCTGGATGCAATGTTGTTGTGATGAAAGGGTGGAGAGCGCCAGATACATTTTGTGAAAGCAGATTGGGATCTTTGCCAGGACACAGGGGAAGCACCAACACTCCTCCTGTGCTCCTAAAAAGCACACGGTGGGTTGTAACGCATCAGGTCCTTGGCATAAAAGCTTTTGTTGGTGCTTTAAAACATTCTGATTCGGGGAAATGAATTACACAGGGCAATCTGTTAATCTAAATGGAATCACTGAGTGAGGATTAGGGATGGGTATCGTTTAGGTTTTATCCGATATCGGTGCCAAACCGGTACTTTTGAAACGGTGCCGGTGCTTAAACGGTGCTCAAACCGGTGCTTAAAGAATGGAGAACAAAAAATTGGTCCAA